AGAAAGGAGAGAAAAAAAGTTGTGGAGGTTGTAAAAAAGTAAATATCTACAGAATGTGGACATGAAACTGTCACAAAATGACAAGAATGAGTCACTAAGCAACAGAAAGGAGACAAGATTGTGTCAAAGTCACATAAAGGACTAAAACTGAGAAACATAACGACACAAAACAAAGAAAATGGGACACAAAATGGAAAAAATAATACAACAAAACAAGAAGACAAAACAGTTCGAAAGACACGTGTAAGGACAAAAACAAGACACAAAACAAAGGAAGACAAAATATGACAAAGACGGCACAAAAAACTGACGGAAAACGACCACATGGAGACAAAACTGTCTTAAAATCACCAAAAGGAGACACACAAAAATAAAAACGACACACAAAACAACAGAAAGGAGACAAGATCGTCTCAAAGACGCATTTAAGGACTAAAATTGAGAAACAATAACACAAAAAATACGACATAAAATGGAAAAAATGATGCAAAAAGACACAAGAAAGAAGGCAAAACTGTTCAAAAAAAACACATAAGGACAGAAATAAGACACGAAACAACAGAAGGGAGATAAAAATATGACAAAAACGGCACAAAAAACTGACAGAAAACGACCACATGGAGACAAAACTGCCTTAAAACCACATACAAGGACTAAAATGAAGAAAAATAACGACACAAAACAAGAAAAACGGAACACAAAGTGGAAAAAATAATACAAAAAAAAAAAAAAAAAAACAAAAAACTGTAAAAAAAAACAACAAAAGGGAGACAAAATATGGCAAAGACGGCACAAAAAACTGACGGAAAACAACCACACGGAGACAAAATGGTCCAAAACTGTCTTAAAACCACAAAAATGAGACACAAAACAACTGAAAGGAAACTCTGAGAGTTTGAAGAAGCCGTAAACATGTAAACATTAGTGTTTGTGCCTTAAGGCCGGACCCGGCTGACTTATCGAGGAGGTGATGAATGAAAACGTGTGAGGAAGCGGCGGCCCACCTGACCCCTTTCAGGATGACTCACACACACTCAAACACAGAGAACACACACATCTCCCACCTACTCAGCAGACATTGACCTCAAAATCACACACCTAAAAACACACACATGGTCCGACGGCTTCTGCTCCAGCAGCTCAGATCGAGCTGAACTCGTGTAGATGCTGCTAAACGTTTGCTTCATGTCTCAGTGTTTGGTTTCTATCTATCCGTTACTCAACAGAATCTCATTCTGTATAAAAATCCCCACAAAGAACCAAGAGCTGTGGTGCTTTCTGATAAAAATCCCTCAAGCTGCTGCTCGTCTTCACACAGAACTATGGGATGAAACCTGAAGTGAGGGCGGACACCTACAGCTGCTTTCTGGATGAATCCATCGGTTGTTTGGTGTCTAAACTGGCGAACAGTGTGGATCACAGTTCGCTCAAATGGCTTGTTTGGTCCAAAGATACTCAAGTTTACAGAGGAAAGAAACCAGAACATATAGTTTAATGAAAGTAAAAATGAACTGTTTCAAAGACAGGAAGTGACTCAGACTGATTGATCGATCATCAAAACAGCTGCTGGTTAATTTAGTCGACCAAATGAAGTCTTTGTAAAGAGACTTTTTAGAGACATAATGATAAAAACAATGAAAACAACAGTTGGTTTTAGTTCCCCAGAGGGTCAGAATTCTAGATTTAACCATCTTTTCTCTTCAATTCATGTTAAACTAAATGTTCTCGATTGTCCTGATGAACCGATCAGCTGTTTGGTCTCCACAGTGTCAGAAACGTGGATCTAATGTCTTCAGTTTACTGTCACAGAGGAAAGAAACCAGAAAATACCTCACTGAAGAGACTGTTTTGATTTTTTAAAAAATCAACCCGAGTCCAAAAACCAACGGAAGCCAACAAAACCGAACCAAAAAACCGGAATTAATCAAAAAACCTCCCAAGCCGGCCCTAAAATGGAAACTTTTTGAAAGGAAGTTGGGTTGAAGAAAGGTCCTCAAAACGCCGAACCCAAAAAATAAGTTAAATGGTGAAGAAAAAAATCTAGAAGATGCTAAAAAGAGTTTCCTAAAAATGTCTTGTTTGGTCCAGAGATGTTCAGTTTACTGTCACAGAGAAAACAAAAGGTTCACACTGAAGAAGCTGCCACCACTTTTTTATTTCAACAATTAATCAAATCAAATCATGGCTGCAGCTCCAGTGAGAGGCTGGTGTGAGGTAATGATGATGCTGGTGATGATAGTGATGTGGGGAAATCCTGAATCTAAAGTTAGGTATTCTTTAATCTACTGGGGAGTTTTCACTTTTAAAAATAAAAGTGTGAATCAGATAATAGTGTGTGAACCTGCGAGAAAATCACCTAAAGACGACTCCGGACACTCAAAGACTCAGATTTACTCGACTGATGATTCGTTTTAGCAGCTTTAAAGGTTTGAATCAAACTTTAAGAAAAAGAAATGAGTTTCTGTGCAAATCAGTGCTGCAGGAGTTCATTGTTCACTTGTTTCAGGTTTAAATTCAGTGATTTCAGCTCCTTCAATGTGAATATTTTCTGGGTTTTTTTCTTCCTCTGTGTAAAAACTGAAGATCTATGGACTAAACGAGACATTTGAGGAAACTCTGATTCACAATTTAAACATTTTCTGACATTTCTTTTGTTTTTATTTCTCTAAAATGTCGCAGGACGGTGATAAAGTCCATCGTAGTGTCTGAAAACCAAAAGTGTTTAAAATCTTTTTTGTTGTTGTTTAACTGCCAGTCTTAAAACTTATTCATTAAATTCAAAAAATTCAGATTGTTAAGTGGGAACATTTCCTGGTTCCTTTCCTCCCCCTGTGACAGCAAACTGAAGATCTTTGGACCAAACAGACCAAATAGCTCATCGATAAAATAACAAAGTAAAACAACAACAGCATGCAGAAGATAGATGAACTAAATGTCACTGCCGTCCTCCAGACTTTCAGGACTTCACTGGCCCTCTACAGGCTCCATTAAAGCCACATGTCACCCCTGTTAGACGCCTGTAACTCCCCCTTGCCCTCTCTGGACCACTTGTCAGACATAAACATGGTGATTTCCAGCAGTGGCAACAACACTGTTTGTGCAACATGTAAATGCAGCCCTGCAGCCCTGCAGACACTTGGGATGATCTGATCTGTCGCAGCCTTTGACTGAGCTGTGAGAGTCGAGAGACATGATCAGATTTTCCTACGTAGGTGGTGTCAGAGAGACACAGCGACATGATCGGCTGACATTTGCTCCAAGACTGCAGCTTCCTGCTCCAGCCCACACACTGGCTCGCCTCGGCGCTAAAGGACAACAGAGCAGCTGCTGCTGCTGCTGCTGCTGCTGCTGCTGCTGCTGCTGCTGCTGCTGGACAAACCTGCTGCTTAATGAGCTCGTCTTCTGATTCCCACCGACCTAAAAATACTCCACAGCATCCCTGATTAGCCCCGGAGCCGTTGTCTGCAGGACGGCACACGCTGTACGGTGACAAACCAGTCCCGGTGTTTGACTTGTCATTACAGCCGCTACTTCGTTATTTCCCTGCGGCTCAGCAGCCTGTTTGACAGCCTGAAGGTCCACACTCAGCCTTCTGCACCTGAGTAAAGTTCACACACTTTGACCCAGAGAACATTTAACCCCATCAGTGAAGCAGCGTGTAGAAAGTTCAGCTGTAACCCTCTTCTCCTGACTGCGACGGAGGGCAGCTTCTCAGCAGATCTCAGTGTTTTAAAGGCCGTGTACTTGTTGCTGGTGATGTTATCTGCAAAGACTTTTTTAACCCTCTGAACCCCAGAACCCGCTGTCTGCTATGAAAGGCTCATTCTCGTTACAATAATCACCAACTTTACACCACGTACTTGCTAAAAACTGTAGAAACGTACACATTTTAACTTCCAGAAGGACCCTGAACGCATCACGTGCAGCTCCATCGAGAAAATGAACCGAATCTACGCTTGAAACTGTGATATTTCATCAAATCGCTTTGTTTTGATAAAAAACATGACAAAAATAACAGCAAAAAACAGAAAAATCTGCACTTTCCTGCACAAAGTTGTCGACATGAGCACAGACAGACATATATACATACGAATATGTGACATAAAACAACAGAAAGGAGACAAAACTTTCCCAAAAAAGACACAGACCAACAACGACGACAAGCAAAACTACAAAAAATAAGACATTAAAGAGACAAAACTGCCCCGAGAACATATTAAACGAGACGCGAGATGTCAAAAGCACAACACAAGACGACAGAGACGCGACAAAACCATCTGTAAACAGTTCGACATCTACAGTATATGGAGACGACACCTTTTCCAGCGGCGTTGATGTCCGTGGACACTCGGAAACATGGTGATTTTTACGTTTTTGTAAAACAAATAATCAAATATTTATCTATTGTCTGACGTCTGCGTGCATTAAAGTTGTTGTGTTTCCATGGAGACGCAGTGAGGAAAAATATAACAGAAGCACAAAAAAAAAAAACTGTTATGAGACAGTTAACCTGCATTCAAAGCAACACCAGTAACTGAAAATACATGAGTTACATAAATAATGCAACTGTTGCTGCAGATACACGATGAGATTGTCTTTACGAAGCGTTTCACTTGTTGCACCAGCCGCATTTCTGAATAACTGAGGAGGAAATTTAAACTTTTAGAAAAGAAAGTCTCTTGTTCGTTGACCAGTTTTGCAGTAAATAAATGAAAAGGTGTCGCTAAGGGCTGCACTAGCTGTAAGAAACAGCAGAATTTGGAAACAAGTCACTAAAAAATATAAATTGAGTACGAAAACACCCCGAGGAGTCTTTGTCATGAACCTTTTCTTCTGCAGCTCTTTAAAACGTGCCTTACAGAAACAGAAAGCTGATCATGGAGCTGCACAAACATGCAGATATTTTAATCTATAAATAGGAATAGAGCTGCTTTATTAGTTCAGCACCTAAATATGTGTTTCTGGAGGAGACGCCTGAACAGAGGCGCGTTCACAGCACATAACTTCAGTCTTCTTTATTTCAAAATTGACAAATGAACCTCTGGCAGCGTGCGAACACACACCCAGCGTAAATCAAATCCAGCAGTATTGCAAAGCTTCAGTACAGTTTTATTCATCGCGCATACATCGAGTTAAACTGTTCAGTCGGTTAAAAGCATCCATGTGTCTGTGTGTGTGTGTGTGTGTCTGAGAGTCTGTTTGCATGTGTGTGTTCTCGTTCCCTTCATGGGAAAATCTCCAGGTGTCCTCCAAACCAAAAAAGTCAACCTCACGCCGTGAAGCGGAGCACCAAACCAGCACGCTGGTTAACTGATCCATATTCCAATCGCTGCAGAACACCTGCGCCGCCGACCTCGATCCCCTCGGCTCAGAAAAGAGGCCACGTGAAAAAAAAAGAACAAGAGACTTTAAATTTCCCTGCTGTGATCACGTTACTGTGCGGTCGTAGAAAAATTAAAAAGCCGCCGGCTGTCGGAGCGTACAAAAATAAAAAAAGTAAGAAAAGAAGAAGCTGACGGCAGCGAAGAAGAAACAAAAGTCTTTAAAACTCCCTAAAATACTGTCGTGTAAAGATGCAGTCGTGTTCAAGCTGCCAGACTGAGTTGCTCAAATAGAGACGTGTCCGCTTGTCGGAGTAAAAAAAAGGAATTCGTAACACTGTACATGTGTTATTGCAGTGATCAGAGCGTCGTTCTGTTGGTCCGCAGAGGTTCTGGATATCCGGTTATTCCCTCTAAAACCACCAGCGTCCTGCTCACTCATCTCAGCTTTGTCGTAATCTGGATATTTTAGCTTGATATGTGAAAGAATTCGCAAGATTATCTTTCTGGAAATCGCCCGTCGACGCTCTTCCAGCAGGTTTTGAATCTTGAGTCTGTTTGAATATCTGAGGAACTGTTCTCTGTTATTCCTCATCATGACGCTGACTCAGAATTCTGGGTGAGTTGAAATATATTTTTAAAAAACTGAAGCGGTCAACACAAGTTCCATCTTTTAACTCAAAAAACTAATGAAGCAAAAGTCAGCTCGTGATGTTTTCTGAGCCACACGTAGCTGCAGGTCTCAACAACACAAAACTAAACATTAGAAAACTTTAATATGAACCACTTGGTCACAGAAATGAAGAGGAAGTTGTTTATGTTGAACTTTCAGATTAGACAAGCTGTTCTGGAGCTTCAAAATGTGAAAATCGTGTTTTTAACAATGTCTAGGTTTTACTTTCAGACCTGCTTTTATCTCTAATAGCTGCAGAGACGTCGTCGTTCAAACAGACTCAAATTTAAATGCACGAAAAAACCTGCTGAAAATGGATCAACAGGAAATCTTCATAGATTAGAGAACAGTACTTGATATATAAAGTCTTTAACAAGATCCGTATTTCATGCTGTAAAGGTGGCCGAGCAGGCGTTTGGTGATGTGAGAAGGAATGACCACGTAGTGTTTTTCTCCGGCAGAAGTGTTGGAGGCGCTTCATCCAGGACGGAGCGGTCCGACGGTTTAATGATTTAACCGCAGAACCCGTCACTTAACGAGCTACATGTGAGGATTTAACCTGACAATGCTGCTAGCGGTGCACAATCAGATTCAATATTCAGCATTTTTCCAAATTATCTGTATGTTTTTAACCGATTCCTGATAAAATATATGAATTCACTGACAGCTCCATCCGATTGGTTACCCGTTACGGCCAACAGCCAATCAGCAGCCAAGGATAATCGTCTCTTTAGATTAAAAAGTGAGCGTACATTTTCCAACAAAGTTTTGCATTAGAGTTTGTGTTTATCCAAATTTTGAGACTAAGATTTTTATTTTTTTATCAGTTTCGGCCGGTCGCCCTCTCCTGCTCGTCTCTTCTTTCCCCTGCAGGTCGCCGTGATGCCGTTTCCAGACGTCATTCGGTCTCCGGTGATTCAGTCGGCCTGCAGACGAACTCCGACGCCACCAGACTTCTCTATTCTGCTCTTGGCTGCAAACCGGAGCTCCACTCCGGCTCCAGCCTCAGCAGTGACCTACAGGCCTGGTTCAGACGGAGGTTTAACACGTGCTGGTGCTGGTGGAGGTTTCTGGAGACGGTGGAGATCTAGTTCTCGTGCAGGACGAGAGATTCACCGGAGAGGCAGCCGAACGACACTGAGTCACGACAACAGCAGCAGAGACACGAGTCACCACTTTGGGTCAGAACTTTCACCATAAAAACCAGAACGAACCCAGGATGGAGAGAGCTGAGTCTAAGTGACAGGTTCTGCATCCTCGATCCCAGGTGTTTAATCAAGTCTGAGGATTTAAATTCTACCCCAAAGCATCATCACACGATCTTTGGGCCGGATCGCTCAGCTTCATCACCCTAAAGAAGCGCCTCCACTGTTTCTGAGAACCACATAATGTACGATAGACGCGATTGGTTAAATGAAAAAAGAAGTGAACTGAAATGTCTCAACATCCAGGAGCTGCAGTCTTTTCATAAATTCAAAATGCACCAAAACAATCTGTTAAAAATGGAGCTCTGTGGTGCTGCAGAGACGTCCAGTCCTAAAAACCCTCCAGACATAAACCCAGAGTGTTCAGACTGCAGCAGAAATCACATCATTGTATTTATGTCTCAGTCGAAAAAGAAAACGCAAAAAAAAATGTGCACTAAAATCACAGCAATGTCTGCTGCATGTTGTTCTGAAAACAGGAGCTGCAGACGCCGTTTCAAAAAGATGCTGCCGCTCAGAGGAATCCAGGAATCAGAACCGTCCCTCCATCTACCTCGTGAAAGCTTTCCGCTGTTTGGCTCGAACGATGTCGTCTGGCGACGGCGTGTCGAAGAGAAAAGGTACGATTGGCGAAAGCGAGTCGAGCTGCTCCTCGGTTCCGTCTGGAGACTCGCAGACGAAGTCCCGGTAACCCGTCCTCCGAACTTTCCCCCTTCCCTTCATCCTCTTCAGTCGCCTGCGGCTTTGAATCGACAAACAAATCGCAAATACCGAAGGCTGAGCGAAAACAGAAGAATCCAGCCGGACGGGTGTCAGAGAGGAGGGCGAGGGGAGGTCGGCGTCCGGCTGACAGGCCATGAGCGTGCTCAGGTCGATGCCGTGACCCAGTTTGGAGGCTCTGTGGTTTGGTTTGCGGCCGGGCCCGGCTCCGCCCTCGGCGGGGCGCCCTGCCAGCGCGTCCGCCCTCCTCTCTGGTTTTGCTGGTGAGAGCAGCGAGCTGAGGCAGAGCTGCGACCCAGATGAGGTGGCTGAGGTTTCACTTTTCTGCTCAGATGTCAAACTAGACAAAGAGAGCAGCTCGGAGAGGCCAGGTGGCTGTTTGGGTGCAGGGGGTTGGTGCTGCAGGGCGAGCCGAGTCCCGCCCGGGCCCGGGGACGCCTGGTTCCGCCTGTTCTGGTGCTGAGAGGCCAGTTCAGACAGCGACAGACTCGGGACCGGCGACACGCTGCTGCTCAGGCTGAGCTGGGAGCCACCGCGGGTCGAGTGCTCCTGGATTAAATCGGCCAGCGACGGGCTTCCCTTTGGGTCGGCTGAGGGCTGAGAGTTCTGCCGGACAGAACCGAGACCGAACCCGGGGGGAGGGGTCACAGCGGGGACGTTGGGGCCGTTTAGCGACAGATTACAGAGCGAAACGGAAAGCTTGGAGGGAGCCGGGGTCTGAGACATGGTGAGAGACGCCAGCGTTCCCAGCGACAGGTTACACATCAGCGCCGGAGGAGAACCGGCGGCTCCTCCGCTCTTCTGTTCATGCTCAGACATCAGCTGGGCCAGACTGGTGCCGGCGCCGATAACCGGACTCACACTTTTAGGATTAAAGTTTAGACTTTTACCGCTAACTGAATTATGCGGAGATAAAAGGTCGCGTAAGTTTGGTTGTGTTTCAGTCTGAGCTTTCTGTGCTGTGACGCCTGTGAGAGAAGCAGACAAGAAGGCTCCTTACCTTACGAAAGCCAAGCGAGGATGTCGAGGAGGAAGGACGGGACGAGCAGGAACCAGACGAATCACGCCGTGAACAGAAGAGCAGAGAGAAGGCACTCTGTTAAAACACTTGACTTTAAAGCGTCACCACAAAGCTGCCGACATTACTGGAGTTAGCTTTAGTGTCTTCTGAAGAAATGAGCTGCAGGTGTTCCTGGTTTTACTTTCAGAAGGAGAAACATGAGCAGCCTTCCAGGATTAATCCAGAACTACTGCATCAGAGCAACTAAACAGCTGGATGCAACTAAGTTCCCTTCAATTAAAGAAAAAGGACAAGATGGACGAAGGGAAGAACAAAGTCTCAATCAATTCAGATCTGACCATCAGCAGCCACGTCAGAGCGATAAGGGAGTCTGTTTTACATTTAAACGGTCTCCTCTGGTGTCCCCAAAAAGACCTTTAAAAGAACTCAGCATCCAGGTCGGCTGGTTCATCTCATCTGTGTGACTTTTACAAGGAGAAAACATCGACAGTCCTCCAGGATCAACCCAGAACTTTCTAACTTATTCTACATTTACTGAACTCGACGCCAAACAAGTCGTCTGTGTTGTTTCTGGAGTTTAAACTTCACAACCATCAGTTTGTGTTTCAGCTCAACAACCAACACCTGGATCATCCAGCAGCTACCAGTTCTGGTTCTGGACCAGCAGCTGATTTATTCTCATGAATCCTCTGAATGTGCAGCTGCTCTGCTCTTAGTCAGTTTTTGGTTTTTTTCTTTAATTTATGCTGCAAATTCTGGCTTTTTCTGCTGGTTTACGATTCTTTTGGGGCTAATTAGTCTAGCAGGAGAACTGTGGAACACTTCAGGAAAACTTTATGTTCTTGCGACCAATCGATCGGGTTTCTCTGGTTCTACTCCATCACTATTTACAGCGACGTCAATTTGAGTTTAAATACGACAAAACTTCATTAATACCAAAGGAAATTCTTGTGTCAAATACTGCTTGGAAAATACTAAAAGCCATAAGAAAAAAAGCGTAAGAAAAGCAGTAAGATACGAGTCCGATGCAAAGCCAAGATAAAATAAAAAGCTGGAACAGAAGAGCATAAATATACTGAGGTATCACACATGATATTAAGTCCTTAAATTGGACTTTTTTGCTAATTTAAACTTCACTTAGTACACCATAACAATGCAAAAATATATATATTTATGAGTATTTCAAATAAACAGCAAATGAAATCTCTCTTTTATAAAAGTGTTCAGCCTTTAATTCCATATTTTCTCCCACAGAGTAGCTATGATTTCAGATTTTCTTAGCAAGACCTCAAAAAAAACTGTAGCCGACAAACTGAAATGCTCTTAATTAAAAACCTGGTAATTAATGAGTGACTTTCCTTTTCTATGTGTGTCTGCAAGACACGTAACTGTCTAGTTGTGATTTTAATTAACAGCTTAACGTCTCCAGGACTCGTTAAAACCCCGACCGTGTTCCTGCGGCGTACCTTTCTCAGCCGCCACCTCCGGCTTGGTTCTCTGTGGAAGCGGCGCTTTCTCCTTCGCCGCTGGCGTTTTCTCCTCAGTCGCGGTTTTGGTCACCGGAGCCGTTTTGGCGTCTTCGGACAGAACCGCGTCCAGGGCCCTCTGCGGGTCGAAGCCACATCTGATGGCCGCCTGGGTCAGAACCGAGTCGGGCACCGCGTCTCCCAGCACGGCCCGCATGTGGTCCAGACAGGAGTACAGCTTGGCTAAAGGGGCGACACACAGAGACGCCGTTTTTAAGACAAAGACGAATACATCAGGAAGAAATTCAACAGGATCTGCACGTCTTCAAACACGAGAATCACAGGTGAACATCAGCACCTTGATCGAGAGGGTCCAGGTCGTGGTTGACGGTGGGAGACATCGGAACGTCCTCCTCCTCATATTCTTCCTCCTCTAACGGTTCCCCCTTCGGCGCTTGTCTGTCCTGACGCGAGTAGATGAACTGATTTGCTGCAACAAAAAAAAACAAGCTCATTTAAGGTCAAAACTATGAGATGTGATTAAAAATAGAAAACACTTGTTGGTTCTTTGTTCACATTAAGATTTAGCTTTTAAATCAGATTATTTATCTGATTATGAACATCCCTCATCAGTGTTGTCCAGAGTAGAACCAACACACAGCAAAGTCATCTTTTTTAGCTTGTTTATGTGGTTTTTATGTCGTTTCCTGTAATGTACTGGTACCAGATCTCTCCATGACTTTTATTATGGACTTTTGTATTGAATTATCGTTGGCATTTTATTATCTTTTTATTCTAATTATAGTATTTAATTTTTCATTTGTTGCATGAACTGTGCATGCAAATAAAGGTGCAATTTGTTATCATATTTATGTATAATGCACATTTGATCACACTAAATCCTTACTATAGGTTATTAAATATATATATTTTTAACAATCTTTATTATTAACAAATTTCAAGCAGCTCCCGTTTTCTTTCAGTGGATGAAATAAAGAGGTACCAGATATTATCCCTGCTGGACTCTTTGTTGATCAGCCAGCGATTTTCTGAGGAGTTGTGATATCAGTGTGGAGGATACAGTGAGCCCAGAGGCTGTAGAGGGCAACGAGATTTTAAAGTTTACCCTCAAGGCGTGCTATGAATGAACGGTGCTGATAAAAGCCAACACCCACTGGACCTGAAACAGAACCATCAGGTCGATTCATCAGGTCGAGCAGATTAAACACCCAGGATGCATTCTCTGCTGCTGGAAATCTAAACCATAACAAAAGACGCAGCTTGATGATGTCACGACGCAGACTGATGATGTCATGTTGTTGTGATAATCTATGAAAGTTTTATTATACTTCATGGTAACTAAACATACACAGCTTACATTAAATAAATGTCAAGTCGATCGCTCATGCAGCTAACGTTAGCGCCGCTATCTGTGGTCAGTCATCACACGAAATAAATCAGAATCCATCGCAGGTAATCAATACAATTAAAAAAAGATAGAGGCTAGCTACTTAGCTTGCTTCCTTCTCAGGTGTAGAGCTGCACAATATATCGATATATTATTTCAGCACCAACATTGTGACGTGAACACTAACAAACTCAAACACTTGTTCCGCTGCTTGATACACCAATAAAACTGGCACAATTCACATTTTCCATGAAGAGACGTCTGTCTGAACATTACTTAGCCTGACGTAAGGCCTTTTGGACACGCCAACTGTTTTTCCTTTACCTAAAAGAGTTTGTTTACAAGCAGGCTTCACAGCAAAACAAGAGGAACAGGAAAGAAACAACGACAAGGACGACGAGCCTAATTCAGCAAGACAGCTCTGTACGTCATCCAGAGAAAAAACTACTTCAGATGTCTGCATGAGAAAGCTTCCAAACTGCATCTTTCAGTTTTGTTTTTTATATTATTTTCTGTTTTCCACGTGGATGCGCGTCCCTACAAAATCCCTCCAATCATTCTAAAAGGATTCAGTCTTTCCAAATGGAGGTATTCAAATCATCTGCTAAAAATTCCTGTATTTTTTCATATCACAACAAAGATCACGGATAAACAAAGCATTCCGGCGTCAGATTTTTCCAATATCGTGCAGCTCTTGATGCATCGCCTGGTGTTTTCCCGTTTCCTCGGCTACAGCGGGTAAATGTGGCGTCACTGATGGAAAAACACCATGAAATCACACTGAATAAAGTCATCAGTTTGGTGGATAGCTGGAAACACTTGGGACAACACCAGTACACAAGTCACCGTGGAAATGTTAGCTTTAATGCTGCCATTCACTCATAAACATGGATTTGTGTATCTTTGAATCAGTCCAACCATAAATCCTTCCTGATTACCAACCTGTTGCTGGTGATATGCAGCAGTAGTCGTCCTCCACAGACTGTCCGTACATGTCGTCATCGTCGAAGTCTGGAATAAATGACAAACCAAGGTTCACAGGTGTTGCTTTGCTCCACACAAACACACTCATGTAGGAAACAGGCAGCTCCTGTGTGACAGCTGCCACTCTGCCCTGTCAGCAACTTCACAAACACAGCAAACTGGACATTAGCTGCGAGGTTAATCTCTATATTTATATGTGATTTACCGAGAGTGAGCAAGTCAGTGAGCTCAGGAGAAGGCAGTGTAGCCTGATGTCGCCTGCCCTACAATATATTAGGAGACTGCAACAGTGGATAGTTAGCATGCTAGCTAGGTAGCTGTCATCATCTAAAGTAAACATTAGCTACACTGTTAGTTACCGACACGTCACGTCCAGGTTTAGCATTACAGCATTAGCCTGACAGCTGCGGTAAACACGTTGTTTATCCTGTGCTCGGTTCCAAGTGACACGACAGCAGCTAAACCAGCTAGCGTTAGCCGCTAACGCAACAACAGTGAGTTGTCAGCTTAGCGGCTAACTAGTGACCGGCTAATGAGGCCTTGTCGTAAATCGACAATAACAACGACTTAAAGTTGGCTACCTTCGTCGTAGTTGTAACCACGAACATTTCTGTGGCGAGACATGTTGCTTAAGTGTCCTCGGTTGACCCCGGGGGTCAGTGTGTTTGGGCTCCCAGGCTGCTGCTGCTGCTGCTGCTGCTGCTGCTGCGGCTACATGTGTCTCACCGCCCGGCTGCCATCGCTGCTGCTGCCGCTGCTGCTGGTGAAGTTAGCATCCCGCTGGGCGACGTTAGCCTCCGGCAGGAGGATAGCATTCCGATACATACACAGACACTAAAATAGGATTTTTAAAAAAAAATAAGAGCCACTCATTTACTATATTCATGTGTTTTATCAACTTTCAATGATCAAATTATTAAAAAGAAAAATATAAAAACTTTTTTCTTCGTGACGTAATTTCCGGGGACAGTTTAAATCAGTGTAGCCTGGAATCAGATCAATACATGTATGATCAATACGCTCAAAACGTTTTAAAAATGTTTATATAAATTTAAAAAAAATAGATCTAAAATGTTTTCAAAACTTACAAGTATAAAAATATTGTTAAACAATCGAATATATATATATATATAACATATAGATAAAATCTCAACAGAATATTTTTAGAAAATAAAATAAAATAAAATTTACCAGATTAGACACTAGTTGGAATCCACTGGTTTAATCTGTGTCCATTTTAAGTTTCCACAGGATCCTTGCACACTGTCTACCTTGCAAAAATGTAATTATTAGCAATGTTTCAAATGCAAATTGTCCATTTTCTGATTAAAACAAAAAACAAACAAACAAAACAACATCACTAATAAATGTGTTTTTGCAAGTTAGACAGTGTTGCTGGAAACTTTTGGACTCTCTCGTCCCTCTCTTTATGTACCTGCCACATGAAACGTGTTTTTGTCTTAGATTTGCATCTTAAACATCAGAAAGTACAATATTTTTATTCCGCGATGTGGCTGAGCGGAAGGAGAAAGTACCACAACATGGAAAATCTAAAGGAAGTCGAGTACCTTGATTTGTACTTAGGTGTAGTTCTTTAGTAAACAGGTACTTTCCACTGCTGGTTTCATCAGTACAGAGCAGAACAGTGGTATGGTGAGAAAACACTTGAATGTGTCATTTTGATTTGTTTTTGGAAACCGTCATGATGAAGATGCCTGATGATGATGATGATGATGATGATATGACTTTAATGCTGTTTTATTTGAGTGAGCAAACACGTCTACACTCTGTATTAATGACTGTGTGTCACTGATGTGAAAGAAAAGCTCAAAATAGAGGACAAAAGAGCTTTAATTTCTCTGCTCTTCCTGCAGAAAGTAATATCAGTTTAGGGTTCTGTGCAGAGAAAGAACACCGGAGACTCTGCTTTCATGAACTATAGTGTTCAGTCTGTAAAGGTTATGCCCTATGGTTAGAGACCAGCCCATGTAGGCCACACTGAGCACTCACACACCCCATGGTGACATCACTTTTTCCTACTATCTGCGCACCGCAAGAAACCTGCAGCCTGTCGACCACAAAGAGGAAGGAGCTGAGAGGCTTGTTTATCTGAGAGCTGGTCGGCAGCGTGAACTTTACAGTCACAAACACGAGTTCATGTGTTTTTGATGCTGCGCCGACTTGATCTCATCCACAAATGAAAGACGAGATGAAGCAAATGTCAAACAATGATCTGATACTGCAGCGATGCAGGTGGAGCGAAATACGAGGTTCAGCGTGTCTCCCCAAACTAAAAATAAAGTCGTCGCCTGATTAATAACACAGCAAAGAGGAAAAGACGAAGCTCTTATCTACAAATCTGTTCTAAATTTCTCTGCTGTCTGATTTCTGCTCAGCTCATTGAAACATTTCTTGAAATTCGTGAGAATTTCAGAGGAAAAAAAATCAGTTTGTTGGAGCTGTTAGCAACTTATACACATCTGAAATATGAGCCAGTGTTCTTTGGAAGAGGACTGGAGGGAAATATCAAACAAAAATACTTTTAAATCTGCATTTATATAAAATATGCCCAAAAAATATATTTAAAATACACCAAAAAATGTAACATAATGTGAAAAAAATGCTAAAAACTTTAAATCAGCAAATTAAAAATGTTCAAAAAATGTCAAACAAATTCACATATATAAAAAACAGTATATTATAGTATATCAAACATTTAAAAATATCAACATATGATTAAAAAATATAAAAGAATTTACAGAAAATGTCTAAAAAAAATCATCTTTCTACCACAACAAGCCTGAAGTCTGTCGACCACAAGAGGAAAAAAACTGAGATGTGTGTGTTTATCTGCACTGTAAAATAAATTAAAAGTTATTTAATTTTAAAAAAAAGCAAAAAACTGTTCAAATCTGGCCGCAACAGTGCCAGATTTAAATTTAAACAAAAATAATAAGTTTTAAAAAAATGGGGAAATGATGGAAAATACCTGTAAGACAGTTCTATTTGTTATAGATTTAAATACAGTAAAAATATTGTCAGTTTATAGTCAAACACTGCAAAAGAACACATTTGCATAAATACAGATTTTTGACGTGGACATTATGAACAGTTTTGGCCTTTTTTTTTTTTTTTGCATTAACATGTCAATTGATGGGCTGCAGGGTGGTTCAGTGGTTAGCACCGTCGCCTCACAGCTAGAAGGTCGCCGGTTCACGTCCCGATGAGGATCTTTCTGTGTGGAGTCTCCACGTTCTCCCCGTGCAGCGTGGGTTCTCTCCGGGTTCTCCGGCTTCCTCCCACAGTCCAGAAACATGCTGAGGTTGAGGATGGATGTCAATTGATTCAAGGATTCAAGGCCTTTTATTGGTCACAAACACAGTTATACAAGGTGCACCTGTTCCACACTGAAACAGTAGTAATAAGATGAATAGAAATAAAAATATATATATGAATGTATATATGTATAGAGAGAGATGGAAATAGCAGAAATAAATAAATCAAATTGTCAAACATATAAAACAAGGAAACAAAGTAGGAAATGTCTGTTAAACGACGCTCGCTTGTGCCACAAAATTAAAGTTAAACGTGATTAAAAATCCTGTTTTCTGACGTGATCTCGTCTCCAGGTGAACGAGAAGAAAATGTCAGACGGCAACGTGATGCTGCCGTGATGCGGGTGGAGTGAAATGAAATATGAGGTTTTCTGTGTCTCCCCAAACTAAAAATAGAGCAGCGCACAGAAAGATTCCCTCTGAGGTCATCGCAGAGACCTTTTCACAATGAATGTCTCGTGTTGCAGCTGCAGCTCTAATCGGCAGCAGTTAGTGAGAACAGGAGCTTCATTCACTGTTTATCCTGCTCGGGTGTGTGCGTCTGCAGGTCGGTGTGTCTCGGTGGGCGGAGGTTTCCCCTCGAATATTCCACTTCCTGTGTTTTGAAGTTGCACATCTACATGTCAAAATAAACAACGTGGAGCGGAGCGGGTTTACGGGGTCACGCAGGTGACATGGAGGGGGGAACCTTCACCTGAAGCTTTCTGGGGCGCCGCCAGACCCGACGCAGCTGATGTCGGATGAAACACGGCGTCGGGAACAAAGTCGGCCTGAAACAGTTTGTAGCTTGAAGCAGAGCAGCTCCTCTGCAGCAGTCTGACACCAAGCACATGCTCATGACTCCGAGAGCCGACTTGTATCTGTGCTGCTCGAGGCTGAGGTGTGATTTTTCACACCTTCTCGCAGCATCTGAACTCGTTTCCTCTGAACCAACACGACTTGGTCAAATCTGTGTCGTGGCCGCAGCACCTCGATGAACGAGCATCAGAGAGAAGCACTGCAGCTCATTAGAGGGATTAAACAGATGGATGGACAGATTGGTGAAGAATGAGGGGCTCAGCGGACGCCTGCTTTGTGCAAATGGTCGTATTTGCCATTGTTGGAGCTCCTCACGTGTTCCTCTGAACATCGCGGCCGTAAACAAGCGGGCGACAGCTGTACCTGTGGAATCGAGTGAAAGCGGAAGGTTGCAAATCTGCGGACGACAGCATGTGAACGTGATTAATCTGGCGTAATTGTAGAAGACAAAGCCGCGTGCAGGTGGGCGGCGGCCGCACTCCGATGAGGTCATGCTTTACATAATTGGCTGGAGGCTCCAGACGACGTGGAGGAGTCTTTCACAGGAAGTCAGCCCGAAGGAAAATGCAAAACCTGCACCTCTGGCAGCCTCCGAGCGACCGGACGGCTGAAGTCAGCAACGTGAAGAGGGAAATGAAAGCTGAATTAAATCATTTGTGCAGTTTGGTTGCAAACGCTGGCTGTAAAACTCGTTTCAAACTTGATGCTAGCTGCATTTTATAAAGGGTAAATCCGTAATTTGAGGTTTTGAGGGAAAGTTCCGCGTAAAAATCTACACGTGATGATTAAAAAACTACAAGTAGTGACTGAATTGGTAAATCTACAGCATCTCTACATGTTTTCCTAATAAAAGTTTACAACAACTCGTACTGCTTCTTTTCTTCTTTTCTGGAGCTTGAAGCCTGATGTTTCTGCCATATTTGTGGTAATTTCATCGTTTTTATATGTAAATCTCCTCCATTAAACCTTAACAAGTCAACCTTTAACAAAACACATATCGTGCAGAATTAAGGCGAGGAAGTCTACTTTGATTTATTTTTGTTTTCTGTTATTTTACATTAGTTCTTGTTGATGTAGCTCAGGAGTTCATTTTTAATTAAAAAAATAAAAAATTTACAGTGTCGTATGTATGTGTTCAGCATGTTCACAGAGTTTTACTGTAATTTTTAAAAATATATATATAATTAACAATAAATTATTTTACAGATTTCCCAGTTTTGTTAAATTACAAACAAAATATGAAAAAAGTATTATTTTACATGTTTACAGTAAAACAAACAAACAAAAAAACTGTAAATGAAAAATGAAAACAAAAGAAAAAATCTGTATTTTTACAAAATTATCATTTGTTCTTTTAAAACAAAATAATGCAAAAAAAAATGATGTTAGTTTAGGAAAGAAATGCTGTTTTTTTAAATCGTGTACTAAGTTTTGTAAGATGTTAAATATTTTAAAAACTGTTATTTTACATATTTTCCCTTTTAAAAAAAATTTACAAATATTTGGTAAAATTCCACAAAAAGGATATTAATTCACATGTTTACCTTTTTTTTTGTATATTTAGTTTTGAAAGATGTTAAATATTTTTGAAACTGTTTTTATTTTTTTGGTTTTTTTGTTTGTTTGTTTGTTTGTTTGTTTGTTTTTTTACATATTTTCCCTTTTTTAAAAAAAGTACAGGTGTCTTGTAAAATCCCACAAAAAACAGTTTTAATTTACATGGTGACTGTAAAAAATAAAAAAAACTGTAAATAATGTCCACATAAAAAAAAATCAGTATTTTCAAAAATAGTAGTTTGTTCTTTTTGCAGTGATTGACTTTAACATGACAGCTTTCATGTCTATAAATCAGCTGAACTCTGATGGTTGTACACATATCTGCGGTTGTTTCACTGTGTCTTTAGGGGATGTGCTCTTTTCTTTTTGTTAACACAATAAAAGACGTTTACGAGAAGCTCCAGTGCAGCATAATTGCTGGTCTGAACAACAGCGAGCAGGAATCCAGCGTTCGTGTCGACGGCTCCCATTCAGCTGCTGTTTGACTTTGGATCACGGCGAATACTGACACACATCCGCCAACAATCGGCGGCCTGTTGGTCCCCCAGCAGACCTCGGGCCATCATTAAAATCATTCAAATCTCCAACCTGTGCACACAAAGCTTTGCAAAGGGGGGCGGCCGGCACAATACCTGCCCTCGACCTGTCCAATCGCGCCCATGCAAATGCCTGAATGGTCCCGGCTTCCTGCTCGGGCTCCATTTGCATATCCTGGCTGCCGTCTTTCAATTTGGTTTCAGATAACAAGTTTTTAATATTACCCTCGAGGGAACAGGCGAGTGTGCAGCGAGGAGGCGAGGACACGTGAAGGCGGCCGTCGTCCCAGTGGACAGAACCTCTGCCGCTGACCCACTTCTTCTCCCTTTATGTGGGCCATCTTCTATTGCCATCTTGCACGATAGCTGCCGTGTAATTAAAGTTTGATTTGAATAGATTAGAAACAGCAGCACCTCGAGGCAGCGGGAACAATGCTTGTGTGCACAGGTGTGGAGCTACAGGTGAGTGCAGCAGGCAACCAGCGGATTCTTTATGTCTCTGCAGGCCTGTAATTAGACGTAAAGGCAATTAAAGTTCACAGAAGAACACAGAAGAACTCCAGCAGCTGGAACGACACAGAACAACATGAGGAACGATCAGGAGAGTTCTCAGAGTTAAACAAACTCAGGTTTAACGAGGTCAGAACGACGAGGTTTAAATAATCGGCTTCATGCTGCTGGAAGGAGACGTCATCAGTTCGGTTTTATTGTTTAATTTAACGGGTCAATAAAGTGACGACACTCTGGAGAACTGATCTGCTGTTTGTTGTTTGTTATCATGAACTTTACATTAAAATCTTTATTTAACAGCCTGTTACTGAGTCACCTTTAACAAATGTCAGAGACTTTTATTACACTAATAATTATGATCATAATTACGACAATAAATAGGGTTTTTTTTTAGGTTTTATTGGGTTTAAAAACAGGTTCTACGTGCAACTTTATGTCCACATCACGTGTATTTAATACATATTAATTTTAATAATAATGATAAAAAATAAATAGTTTAATATAAAATAAATGATTTTATTATTTCATTTTAATAATTAACTTTATTATTCCATTTTAATAATAATAAATATTTTTATTATTATAAAATAAATAATTGTATTTATGTTGTAATAATAGTTTTATGATGTTGTTTTTCATTAAAAATGTCAAGTTAGAGAATCTTATTTAAAATAAATGGATTAAACAATAATAACTGTAGATTTAACCTCTGACGTCACTCTGAGTCTGTTTCAGTCTTTTTCTGTGTTTTTACTTTAACGATTTTAATAAAGTCTGTTTACTATAAAAACTTATCGGCTGAAAAAAAATCGACCTGGTGACCAGGTTCTGACCTGAGCTCCTGTCAGCTTTAGTCTGATGCTTAAGTGGAACTACAGGGACCAGAACTAGAACCAGAACCAGGACCAGAACCAGGACCAGGTACAGAACCAAGACCAAAACCAGGACCAGAACCAGAACCGGGTACAGAACCAGGACTAAGACCAGGGCCAGAACCAATACCAGGATCAGGACCAGGACCAGGCAGGTATGGAACCAGACCAGGACCAGGACCAGAACCAGAACCAGAACCATGTACAGAACCAGGACCAGAACCAATACCAGGATCAGAACCAGGACCAGGACCAGGACCAGGACCAGGACCGGAACCAGACCAAGACCAAGACCAGAACCAGGATCAGAATCAGATCCAGGACCAGGACCAGAACAAGAATCTGAACCAGGACGAAGACCAGGACTAAGATCAGAACCAGAACCAGAACCAGGACCGGAATCAGAACTGGTATGAAGGAACCGAACCACAGAGACACTGAAGCCGGAAAACAACAGGAAGAAGAACCGAACATCAGCACAACACAATAACAACACAATAATAACACAATAATAACACAACAACACAATACACAACAATGTAACACAATGCAGCAGGAACCGAACCTTGGACTCGGTTCTAATCGGTTCTAAACATGTGCAGCAGCTGTAGGAATCCTCGGTACCGAATCTGCACCTGTCGCTTCCTCCTGCTGTCCAGGAGCGAAACCGGTCCGGCTGAGCGCCGAACCGGCAGCAAAGCGCGCCTCGGGGCGGTGGTGCCTTCAGGGACACTCGGGAAGTGTTGGACAGCCGGACACAGAGGCCTGGAGCGACCTGGAGCAGCCCGGAGCGACCCGGAGCGACCCGGTTCGGCTCCAGACATCTGAAGCAGCTGATTTAAGACACAGACGAGGATTAAAATGTGTTCAGATCTCACTCAGAACTTCTTATTGTGACTTAGTTTTATTTTTTTTATTTTTGGTCATTTGGCACCAAAAACTAAACAAACAACAATAAAATTCACTTCTTCAGTAAACTTTCATTCATGAGCTCTGAAACACTGAACATAAATACACTTCTGTGTATTTGTACTGCATTGAGGAGTCAGTGTGTCCATGTTGTGCTGTTTCATGCTTTTATTTTGGAGGTGAAGTTGGACTTTGTGCTGCACTGCATTTATTTTATAGCTTTAGCTGCCAGCTAGTTTGTAGATTTGAGCTTTTATGATAAAACATTACAGATTAAACCCCCAGCAGGGAGTAAAGTTAGTAAATGAGCTCAACAATAACGTGATATAAACATGAACGTGGTTCAGAAATGAGTGTTTCTGTGTCAGAAGAAGGACTCCGGATGTTTTAAATCTGTAGTTTTATTTAAATACTTGTTCTCTCGCACATTTTCTGGAAATATCTTCACAGCTGAACGCGTTATCTTCACGTCTCCTGAATCTCCGACTGCCCGTGAAGGGCTCTCGCGGCACATGCGCAGTGCGGCTCAGGGGCCAAAAGCGCCAAACTAACCGGGATGCGGAGGAAGGGAGGGGAAGCGGGCGGAGGCTGCTGCAGTTTAAATTAATGTCAACCTGCCTCCAGTCCGGGAGAAGCAGCCGAGCGAGCGCAGCGACTGAACGGGCTGAGAGCGACCTGCAGCCGCACACGGAACCATGACCCGGCGGCCCAGAAACAGGTGAAGCCCACACGCACACGCTTTTCTGTCTCTTTGGGGTTTATTTGCGTGAGCGCAGCGGAGCCACGCGCTCCGTCCGCGCCGCTTTATTCTGAGTTTGGCCGCGGAGCAGAGCGCGCCACTGACAGGTGGTCGTCCGGCATGTGCGCTCCTCGGCACACTTTTACGCACAGGCGCGCTGGTTGCCGCCACGCTGCGGACCCGAGCGGACCGGAGGGACAGCAGCACCGGGTCACACTCGGTCTGTGCTGCTATTAAGGTGAAGGTTTGAGCTCCGTTTAAAGCGGCGCTGCGCGTGTTTCGGTTGTGCGCTCTGAGCCGCAGACTCCGTCCAGTTGGCACAAAGTCCGAGTTAAAGTCGCAGCATCACGAAGCGCCGCTTGGCACTTGTTATTTGGAACCTGCTGCTGCAGCTTTTACTGTTTCTGTCCGGTGCTCAGAGTTTGTTCTTGAGGAACGCGTGAAGCTGAAAACTGGAGTTTGATCTTTTATTGTTGGTTTAGTTTCGCTGATTGTCTGAAGAAGCTGCGAGTTTGTTGGAAAGTTTCTCTGAGACCCTGAAACTGCTGAAGCGGTTTATCCTCTGACTGTGTTCTGGTTTTATCATAAATAGAGTTTTAATCCTTTACATGCGAATGACTCCGTTAAATAATGAACTCTGCAGGATCTCAGCTTCAGGATTTAAAGTTTTTAGGTTAATTCGTGACATCAATATTTTTTTTTCTTTCATTTTCTTTTCTTTTCTTTTCTTTCTTTTTTTTATTTATCTTTTGTTTTTTTTTTATTTAACTAAAAAGCACTTTTACGCAGCAGCTGTTGTTTTAAATCTGCTTTATAATTAACGGTGAATTCACTTTCTGGGCAAAATATTGCACTTTTTTTTTTCTCCATTTTGCGCTAAAATCACGCGGAATTTTCGATTTAAATTAAACTTGTTTTTCTCGCTTTGAGCGTCAGTGGTGAGAAAAACTCGAGCTGTTTCTCCACAGACTTGCTCGCTACGTTGAGAAATAGGGAAGCTGAACGCGCAGTCGGGCTCCAGGTTCACCTGTCGCTCTGTACCTGGCTCTGCGCGTGCTCCCCGCGCGCTGATTGGCTGACTAGCCCGTCGGTATGCGTGCGCGCGTGCACGCAGGACGGCACTGTACAATGCGGGCTGCAGGTCTGAACATGTCGGGGTCACAAAAAATCATGATGCATGTGCCAAACCCAGTATCTGTGGAAACCAACAACAGAGGAACCTGTTCCCCTCCCTGCCTGCTCCCCCCTGTGGGCGTCTTGGCCCAAAGCCTGCAGCCAAACCTTCAAGAATGACTGGTTCTGTTCCTGCGCTGACACCTGAGCAGCTGCCAGCCGCTTTATGCTGCTGAGGGATGATTAGGGAGTAGTTTGGAACTTATTGTGCTTTTATTTCCCTTTTCTTTCACGTGTCTTTCTTCTGTCCGACTCCACCTCTGATTAAAGCTCTGCTCCGTGTCTCAGTGTTTACAGCAGCGAGGAGGATGAGGACGAGGCCGAGATGTACGAGCACGACTACGACGGCTCTCTGGCCAAGACGGGGAAACGGCACCTGGGTAAAACCCGCTGGACCCGAGAGGAGGTAGGCCCAGGTTCTGGTCCTCATCCACGGTCCGTCTGCTGAGGACAAACGCTCACAAACTTCTGTCTCTTGCAGGACGAGAAGCTGAAGAAGCTGGTGGAGCTTCACGGATCAGAAGACTGGAAGCTCATCGCCAGTCTTCTAACTGTGAGTCTGGACTTCAAGAACTCTGTTACTTCTGTTGGTTCTCACTGAAGCTTCTGGTCACTTCATAAATCTTGTGTTTGCTTCGACCAGAACCGGACGGACGTTCAGTGTCAACACCGGTGGCAGAAGGTTCTGAACCCGGAGCTGATCAAAGGGCCGTGGACCAAAGAGGAGGACCAGCGGGTGAGAACCGTTCACATCTAAATGAGCTGAAACACTGAGAGACCCACATGAAGCCTGAACCGTGCTGCAGCATCAGGAGGAAAAACACAAGAAAAGAGCTTTAATTCTGACAAACATTTCACTAATTTTTAGCTTCTCGTCTTCAGTCGGAGTCACAAAACACAAAGAAAAGCTGCTTTAAAATAGAAGCTTTCTGAAATTTTAAAATGTGAGACACTGACTCACTTATTTTTCACAGTTTCTGACCTTTTCAAGCCCAAACAGCTGATTGGTTGATGCAGAAAACAACACACACGCTGCAGCTATAAGGGACACATGGAGGCAATCGATTGGCTGTCAGATAATAAATCAATCACTGACTATTTTGATTGTTTTTTTATATCAAAAAGTCTAAATTCTGCCGCTGCAGCGTCTTTAAACATGGCAGTAAACTGTAATAACAATGAAAGAAGTTGTAGCTGCTGACTTGCAGGTTGGAGCCCATGACGTTATCAGAAGCAATGCATTGTGGGATTTTTTTTAGATCAAAAAGCAGCTCGTGTTTAATTTTGGGGATTTTTTTTTTCGTTCATAAATGTTTAGACAGAATCAGACAGTGTTGAGGGACATGTGCGATTCTTTCCATATTTCTTTTGGAGTTTGGGAACAAAACCTTTCCTTCAGTTTTCTGCGCAAACAGCTCAGACGTGACATGAATGCAGCTCTGGAGCTGAAGCAGCCTCTCTGTGTTCCTGTGTGATTAAAGCAACGTCTCTGTAGCAACCCCTCCTGCTGTTGCACAGGTTCGCTCTGTCGTTGCACAACACGTAGTTCGACCGGCGGCTTCGTGCTCTGGAGTTAAATTTCCACCCAGATGCTGCAGTAATGATTAGCAGAGCGGCTAACGTTGCACTGGAAACTCCCAGCAGGTGCTCCGATGCACCTGAGAGATAAAGAGGCCAAAGCTTTAATGGACGATCGTTTTCCCTTCTTCTCGTCTCTTCCTTCCTCCCGCCTCCTCGTCTTTCCTGCTGCAGGTGATCGAGCTGGTCCAGAAGTACGGAGCCAAGCGCTGGTCGGTGATCGCCAAGCACCTGAAGGGCCGCATCGGGAAACAGTGCCGCGAGCGCTGGCACAACCACCTGAACCCGGAGGTGAAGAAGACGTCGTGGACCGAGGAGGAGGACCGGATCATCTACCAGGCCCACGAGAAGCTGGGAAACCGCTGGGCCGAGATCGCCAAGCTGCTGCCGGGCAGGTGAGAGGCTGCAGCAGAGCAGGTTAAAGGGCAGAACTGCAGAGAACCAGACGAGAACCTTATCAGCGGAGCCCAGACGAGACTCTGCTGTGTTTCTGAGCTGAGATAAACGAGCCAATGTTTCCCTGCAGGACCGATAACGCCATCAAGAACCACTGGAACTCCACCATGAGGAGGAAGGTGGAGCAGGAGGGCTACCTGCAGAACGCGTCCAAGAACAACGGCTCCTCGCTCTCCATTGGTCACGGATACGTCAAGGCGTCCAATCACGTCATGGGCTACCCCCACCACTCGCCCAATCACACGCAGCTTCCGCCGCTGAACTACAACTTCATATCCGACACACACAGAGTGAGTAAAAGGCCGACTGAATCCTGTCTGTGTGGATGTTTTCTGGTTTCTTTCCTCTGTGACAGTAAATCTTTGGACTAAACGAGACGTTTGAGGAAACTCTGATCCACATTTTAGACCAAACAGCTGATCGGTTCGACCAGAACATCATCAGTACTTTGCAGCTCTACGAGAACCTTCATCAAACCAAACTCCATTCAAAAAAGTTCAAATTTAAAGCCAATTTCTGAATTAAACCTGGTTTTTAGCTCCGCTTTGGTCGCCTCCAGCTTATTTCTGCTAATTGCAGCACCTTAAGTTCAGCTCCAGAACCTCATTTGTATATAAGTTAAAGCCTGAATCGCTCTGTAGCTGCAGCGACTAAATAATGAGATTAATGTTGACAGTAGAGCTGCAAAGAGGAACTATTTTAATGATCGATTTGAGCAGGTTTTTTTGCTTGCGGTGTGATTTTTAGAATAAGTTCAAGAGAAGCTGCTGCTGAAGCTGAATCATCGTGACTTAAACTAACAGTTATTATCATCTGCTGATCATGTTTTCTGTTGTTTTTCTGTAGAACGTCTCACGGTGCTGAAAATGTCTAATTCTGTCAGTAGTTTCAGTTTCTTTCCTCCTCTGGGACGTAAACTGAATATCTTTGGACTAAACCAGATAAGTGTGGAACCCCTGATAATTAATCCATGTTTGGACCAACAGGTGCCGTTTCCGATGGCGCTGCACCTGAACATCCTGAACATCCCCAACATCCCGCACCACGGCACCGCTGCTATCCAGGTAGAGCCCCACACAGACACACAGACAGACAGCAGGACAACTCGGTGTTGTGAGGCCGAGCCGGATCTAACGTTGAGCTGTGTTTCAGAGACACTATGGCGAGGAGGACCCGGAGAAGGAGCAGAGGGTGAAGGAGATCGAGCTGCTGCTCATGTCCACGGAGAACGAGCTGCGAGGCCAGCCGGCGCTGCCCGTGAGTGTGACAGTGATTTATGCGTGACCCGACGCTGAGGACAGTGGTCGGACGTGAGCAGGCAGCAGAGGAAACATCTGGGGGGTCTGTTTCTGCAGAAGTGATGAAACAGGAGCTTATCGGCTCGCTGCGTGGCGCCTTGTGCAACCCCACGCTTCACGTTAGAGTTCCCGTTCTTCTTCTCTTTTCTCAAAAGTCTGCAGCTCGTCCTGCTCGCAGTGTGGATTACAGTCCAACACCTGCCTGACCAGTTCTACACGGGTTCTAGTGATCCCACGTCAGGGTCAGAGTCATAAAAACGTATTATTTAGATGCACAGCAGCTACTGTTCTCTTAAACTTATAACTCTTATTCTTATCAACTAAAGCAGCGAATGATAAACGCATCAGGAGCTTTGACAGCGTCGTAGTTCTCGTTTACAACCAGAAAGTATTTTTATATAAAAGTCAATGAGCTGTTTGGTTCTGAAACGTCAGAAACTGTTTAAAATGTGGATCAGAGTTTCCTCAGTTTACTGTCACAGAGGAAAGAAACTAGAAAAATATTCACTGAAGAAGCTAAAGTCACAGAGTTTACAGTTTAATTAGAAACTTGCTCAAATGTAATTTTCTGACTGCTGGTCGAACACAGGAAATCATTTCAAAGGCGTCACTTTCGACTTTAAGACGCTTTGATCGGTGGTTTCAGCGTCCTGTCGCAGTTTGGATTCAAATTAAAGAAATAATAATCAGCAGATTTGTCACAAAGACGGGCCGAACATGTAAATTCATGCTAAAAGCAGGTCACAGCACAAATACAAAAGTTCAACAGATTAATTGTCAGAATAGTTGTTGAATAATCATCCAGCTCGACATTCAGTCGCCGAAGCTACAAACTGTTTCTGGTCGATGTAGAAGCTGCTCGTGATGTTTCTAGAAGAGTCTCCATCTGTCCAAATACAAAAAAACCTCCAACCAAAGTTGTTCATGTAGCATAAAACGTATACCTGAACATAGAGGGGCCTTTATCTGATTTATTTAGAACATATTTATTATTTATTTTAGAGGGGTTTTTTTTCTCTAAACTAAACTTTAGTTTTGAGTATGAATCTGGGTAATAAAGTCAAATAATATTACGATTAAGTCTGGATTCTCTGTTGAGTCAGTAGAGCTCTGGTTCAG